TCAGCATTGACTCCATGGTAGTGAGTTTTTTGCTTTGCTTACTACCTCTCAGGCATGCTGTTAGGGAGTAATCCTTTGACTGCAGAGGACAGACTTGTAGATGGAGCTGATGACGGCTGGGCTCCTGTTCTGAAAGGGCTTTTGCCTTAGACTCGATTGTTGTTGTAGGGCCTGTGTATGCAGTGCTCCCTGATCCTGCTTCGCCCTCCCAATCGTTGCCACGTTTGAGCCCTTTCTTGCAGTCCTGTGTCCATCAATCTCATGATGACCCTCTCATTTCTGCTGATGCTCGTTTTCACTAAGCATGCTGCTAAACACAAGGTCAGCGGTTTGAAACCACCAGCCACCCCGCAGGAGGAAAGCATGGCTTTCTGCTTCTGGACAGCGTCGCGGCTTCAGAAACCCTGCTCCTCTGCCCCCAAGGTTGCTAGGAGTCGGAATCAGCTTGATGGCAGTGGCTTGGTTTGCCATCTTTTTGGACTGTCTTTCTCCAGGGACTGACCCCTCCTGATAATATGCCAAAGTACCTGAGACCAAGCGTCACCATCTTCACTTCTAAACAGGGTTGACTCGGGAAAGCGAATACCCACGTGTTGTCAGGAGAGACCAGTCCCTGGAGAAGGGCCTCATGCTTGGTGAAGTGGAGGGGCAGCGAGAGAGGAGGGCTCTTGACGTGATAGGCGGACACAGTGGCTGCCACAGTGGGCTCCCACAGGACCATGGTGAGGGGGCGCAGGAGCGGGCCATGTTCCCTTCTGCTGTACGTAGAGTTGCTACGGGTCAGAACCGACTCACGGGTGTCTAACACCACCACCAGCACCACCGGCTGAATCTTGGCCACAGCACCGTGCTGCAGGCAGAAGCTCTTGTTTGGGTCGGGCAGGGCTCAGGTTTGAGGTTTAAAGTTTCCAGGTGAGCTCAGGACCACACCGTTAGCCGTCCATCCTGCTTCCATGGCTTTGGGTTGCCTGAGCCCACCCACCCCAGCTTTTGCTGTAAGTCATGACTCATGCTCAAGGAGGAGGGGTTTATGGGCGAGTACACCAACGGGAGGCCTTAGAGTCCTGCCCCCCGGACACGTGACTTAGACTGGTAATGGAAGTGAGAATTCAGCAAGGCTGTCTCCCACCCTCCCTCCTGTCCCAAGCAGCCACTTCCCCCACCATCTCTGGCTTCTCAAACCCTCTCGATTTGGGCCCGATGGCAGCTCCTTCTCTGCTGCCCGTCGCTGAGCATGGGGGCTGGTGGGAGCAGCCTGTGAGCCTCAGAGCAGACACTCTCAGGCCCGAGTGTTTTCCGTGTGGGCAGCAATTTCCAGCCAGTTTGATCCGCAGATTCCCTCCCTAGTGAATTGTCTGCCTCTGAGATGGCTCTGGAAAGCATACGGCGGATGGGGCAGGGGACAGGTGGGGTTAAACACCGCTGCCTCCTGCACGCGCGCCTCTTCGATGACAGCGGGTGGCAGATGTTATGTGTGTGTGTTGACATGTGTCTGTGTTCAGTATGTGTGGGGGTGGCCATCGGTGAATTATGTGTAGGCACATATATGCACATGTGTCTCATTGCATGCCTTTGTGCGTGCACAGTGTGACATGAATGCGTATGTGTGCACACGCGTGAACACGCCACGTGTGGATTTTACGTCCCATGTGCCTGTGTGTGCACATGTATACAATGCAGGCAGTGTGTTCACTGTGTGTGTTTGCCAGGTACACTGCATAAGTGCATGTGGGTGCATACGTGCACATACGTGTGCTGTGTGTGTGCCACTGAGCACATGGGTGCTTGTGCCCGTGTTTCACCTATGTGAAGACCTGCATACATGTGGTGTGTCTGTACATGTGCTCATGTTAATTGCACGTGCACATGGCTCGTGTACACACGTGTGTACATAAATCCATGCATTCATTGCATGTGTACATATACTTGTGTCCATATGCCTGCATTCACTGCACATATGCACGTACTTGTGTGCAAGTGTACTTGTGCCACTGTGTTCATTCCATGTGTTTGTCTTGTGTGTATGTGTACATGTATGTACGCTCAAATTTTCACTACATGTGCATTTGTGCCCATGTACATCTGCACAGGTCTATGTACACCTGCCCATGTACATCTGCACAGGTCGGTCCATGTACACCTGCATACATGTACCAGTGTGTTTGTGGCATGTATACACGTGCCTGTGTGTGTGTGCACGTGTGATTGTGTGTACACGTATCCATGCGTGCACCTGCATGCCTGCGTGCTGGTTGTGTGTGTGCATGTGTGCGTGTTCCCCAGGCCGATGCCTCACGCAGCTGACCCTGTCCCCGCAGTGTGCGGCTGAGTGCAGCAGCCTGCTGCGGACCCTGCACGGCCTGGAGCAGGGGCACCTGCGAAGGGCACTGGCCCTGCGGCAGGAGGAGGACCTCGCGCAGGCGCACCGGCAGCTGGCCCTCTTCCAGCGGAGCGAGCTGCACAGGATCTTTTTCACCCAGATCAAAAGCGCGCTTCTCAGCGGGGAGCTGACGCCGGAGGCGGCCAGAACGCTGCTGCAGGACTACTCGGAGAGCCAGGTAACGGAGAGCCAGGTAACGCTCCCTCGGACCAGGCTGCCCTCAGGCAGTCGCTGTCCTCGGCTGCCCCCCACCCGCCGCTCCTCTCCAGGGAGCGCAGGTCCCTTCTCCAGGACAGTGCCAGCAACCAACTCTCTCCTTCTGCCTCTGGCTGCAGGGAGTCCCCGGAGAGCAGGGGGCGGGCAGGGCTGGGTGTGAATTCCACCTCCACCCTGTCACCTGGTGAACTTGTGCAGGTGAGCTCACCTGTCTCACGGGTGTCCAGCGCCCACGCTCACGGTGATCAAGGTGGTAGGAGCTGACCCCCGGCCAGCCGGGGCTGGGCGTGATTTCCCTCAATAGCCATTGCAATGAAAACGGGACAGCGGGTGAGCTGGCCAGCCCTGAGGCTCACCTGAGGTCATCCTTGGTGTCCTCCCCCCGTGATGGGTCACTCCTGCAGCGATCCAGAGGCTTCCACTCACTCATGTTGAGAAGTGGACCGCCAGGTCTTTGTTCTAGTCTACCTCAGTCTGGACGCTCCACTGGAGCCAGGCCCCCTCATCCCGCGATCCTGTTCCTATTCCAAGCACCTGGGCTCAGCTTCCTGTCTCAGTGATAGGCGAGCCATCAGAGTACAGCAGGCAGACGGGTGGGTGGGGGATGTATGGATCCCACGTACTGTGTGTGTGTCTGTATTAAAGAACCTGGGCAGCATAGTGGTTCTGCATTGGGCTGCTACCTGCAAGGTCAGCCGTTCGAAACCACCCACCGTTCCAAGGGAGAAAGATAGGGTACTCGAAGGGGCAGTGCCACCTTGTTCGGTAGGGTCAGTACAAGGCAGTATTGGCTTGATGAATTGCAGCACGGTCTTTGAAGAAGCTGACAAGTTGACATGAGGTCATCCTGGAGTAGGGTGGGTCTAACCCAATAGGAGGGAAGCACCACTTAGAAAATTCAACGCCGGGATAGACTTCTCTCTTTGGTTTTAATTAGGCGTAACTCCCCCCTCTTTCTCTCTTAAAAACAAAAACAAACCAGGCCCATGTGGAAGAGCTGATGGACTTCTTCCAGGCCACGAAGAGGTATCACCTAAGTAAGAGGTTCGGCCACAGGGAGTACCTGATCCAGACCATGCAGTCCTCGGAGACCCGGGCCCAGGGCCTTCTGAATGCCGCAGCTGCTCAGCTGACCCGCCTCATCCAGAAACACGAGCGGTAAAACCCCACGCAGACCCAGCCAGCCGGCCGCAGGCTCCTCCCGAGACACTCCTTGATGGGTGTGTCGAGTCTTTCCGGTTCACAGTGCCCCGCGTACAACCGCACGCAGCAGCCCCGCCCGTCCCGCACCGTCCTCCCCATTGTTGTGTGAGCCCGTTGTTGCTGTCACTGTGTCCACCCACTCTTTGAGGGTCTTCCCCCCCTTTTTTTTACAAACGTTGCCTCTATCCGGGGCGACATTTGCTCTTGCTCACTCATCATCTGCTCTGGCTGCTTTGTGAAGAAGCCGGTCTCTTGTTGGAATAGCTCCTTGCGTTGTGGACTTGATAGACGGACGTGATAATCAAGGCACATGTTCATCATTTGGCTTCAACCCTGTGTTAGGGAGGGTTCTTTAGAGAAACAAAACCAGAAGACTTATGAATAGATAGATAGATCGATCGATGGATAGATAGATAGATCGATAGGTACAGAGGGCTCAGTTCAACTCACTTTCGTGGAACAATTCAAACACTGAAGGTCCTTCAACTCACTCAGGCTGCCAGGCCAAGGCCAAGGAAGCAGACAGCAGTCTGCCCTCAGGTAAGAGGTAGAGTTGGCCCACAAGCAGACAGCAGGGTGGGGCAATGGTAGTCACCAGGAGTGTAGCAAACAGGAATCTTAAGCTCCAGCGATGTACTTCCTTCAACACGATCCACCAGCAGCGTGGCAAAGCAGGTCTCAAAGGAGGGACACAGTCCATGGGTTAGCTTGGCCCACGGGCAATGCAGCACACGGTTGAGGCAAGGAACTAGCTCAAGCAGCAGCACGCTGGTCTGATCACCAGGGAGAAAAAGAGAAGTGGGGGTCGGCCTTGGAAAGCCATTGATCTCGTTGCTGTCCAATCAAGCTGTAACCTGATTAAACTCCCCCCACAGTTCCTATGGAAGCCTAGTTGACACAACCTCTCACAAACTCCTATCCACTAGCAGCCAGCTTGATGTCGCTGTTGTCGTTGGTGTGGTGTCCATCTGCCTTGTTGACCCTGACTCACGAGGACCCCACTTGTGCAGAGCAAGGCTGCTCCGTGGGGTTTTCCAGGCACTGAGCTCTCAGGAGCAGATGGTCAGGCAGGTCACTGAGTGCCTCTGGCTGGGTTCGACCCACCAGGCAAGAAGGAGAGGCAAGGAGGACAGATGGACATGGTAAACACAAGGAGGCTTTGGGAAGAGTACCTGCCTCATATTGGATTAGGACCCACCCTCCTCCGGGATGACCCCATGGGTCTTGTTAACTTCTTCAAAGACCCTATTTCCAAACCGGGTCACACTCACAGGTTCTGGGGGCCAGGGGATCGTATTTTGGTGTGGAGTTGCACACAAACAAACTGGTGTCCTGGGTTAGTTTTCTCAGGGCTGCCGAATCCAGGTCCCACAAACTGGATGACTGGCAAGGACAGATACTTACTCGCTCACAGGTCTGGGGCTGGGAACCCAAAACCAAGGTGTTGTCCAGGGTCACTCCTTCTGGGGCGCCAATGGGAGCATCGGTCTGCCCCAACCCTCTCTCCCAGCTTCCGGTTCGGCAAGAACGAAGACCAAAAATGAAAGCCAATTGGTTTTCATTCAACAGACTGCACTCATTTTGTTTCATGACATTACATTGTCGTCAGTTCCCACAATGCAATGGCATTCTGCCCTCTGCCTCCTTGTGTGTACCATTTCCACCTGCCTTTCTGTCCTCTCCCTTCCTGCCTCCTGGGTTTTATCCCTGGGCCAACGCTGCTCTTTGCTGGCAGGCGGCTAACTGCTAAGGAGTCCCTACTGTCCTGGCGTGATTGTTCATGGTTGCGCTGCCCATCGAGCCCTGAGGAGAGCTCAGCTCCTTGCTCAAAGAATGACTAAGGGCCACCATCTGGGGACCTTCTAACAAATAAGCTTTGTCTTTTTTGGGATTCTGAATCTTGTTCCATATTTTTCTCCCATCCTGTCCTAGTCCTACTGTGGTGGTCTTTCACAGAGTGGTTGCTGGTGGGAGCTGGGCACTGTGTAGTTCCTATGGTCTCAGGGTCGGCTGGTGATCCCTGGCTTGTAAATGCATCCCTCCAGCCTCTGCCTCCTTCCATCACACGGCCATCTTCCCCCATCTATCTCTCTGGATCTCTTCTTACTCCTTTTTAAAAAATCATTTGATTGGGGCTCATACAACTCTTATCACAATCCATCCATCCATCCATGTGCCAAGCACATTTGAACATTTGTTGCCATCGTCACTTTCAAAACATTTTCTTTCTATTGAGCCCTTGGTATCAGCTCATTTTCCCCCTCCTTCCTCCCACTCCCTTATGAACCCTTGATAATTTATAAATTATGATTTTTTCTTGTCTTACACTGACTGATGTCTCCCTTCACCCGCTTTTCTGTTGTCTGTCCCCCTGGGAGGGGGATATATGTCAATCATTGTGATTGGTTCCCCCTTTTCCCCCCACTTTCCCCTTCCCCTCCTGGTATGGCTCCTCTCA